CAAACTAACATTAATTTACCCTTAAATATTCGCATATCAAACATCCTGTATAAATGGATGCAGGTAGTTTTACTTTGACCCGGCAAGAACGGTGACGACAACAACTATATTCTCTCATTTGCAAGAATTGGGTCTCTAGGGTGCAAGAAAGGTGAAATGATCTGCACCCGTACAACAGGAGTCCAGGAGCGTTGCCGGGTGCTCCACCAACGCTTGCGTATTCCATAGGAAAATTTCCGCCGCCGCGCGTCACGCCGCGCCGCCGCCGGGCTCGAGCAACCCCAACCCGGTCGGTCGTGAGTGTGACAGTCCCCGCCGATCCTTGGTCAGGGTGCTCGCAACCCTCTGCCTACGGGAAAGCACCGCGGAAAACCATTACACAATCACGAACATGAACGGTTAGGGCAGAACTCCCGCGCTTATCTTTGCTGACAATAAACACTTCCTCCTCAGATGCACATGTATTTTTGAGCATTTAGTACAAGTATATTTTTTACTGCTTCCGGTAAGTTAGATGTCCCGTAGATGTTCAGATGCAATCCCGATAATAACTCACCTATGATCCCGATCTCTTGTCCAACCTTGACATTGGGAAACGGTGCAAAACATACATGTTAATATTTATATCAACGATAGCAGTGTATCCCGGAGGATAGCATTGATTATATTATTGTTATGAACTAGCACACCTGTTACAGCGATTTAAAGCAGAAACATAACAGGAGAGAGACGGAAACATACCTCTATGCATCCTTTTTTTATTTCTGATCAGCAAACTGGCTTCTATGGATAAAAACCTATACAGGGTGGCGCTCAGTTTTTTTTTTTGAAAAACGCTCAGAAATTTGGCAATAATCACGTTAGCACGTGCAGCCCCCTAAGCGGGGGTGACACCACCCCGAAAATCTTAAATGGAAAGGGGGGTCGAATGATACCTTATTTTAAAGGTCTTTCAATTCCCTTTATAATGATATAAAATTAATGTAGGTCAGTTCAGTAGTTTTGAAGACTTATTGATTTAAAGCTTAAAGTAGACTTTAATAGGTACATAAGATTAGTTTGTACTACTTTCAGAAGAAATTTGACTAAAAGAATTTACTTAATAAGTAAATGCTTTTCTTCATTACGCCCATGGTTTGTTTATCATTTTGTTGTTGAAAATAGCTATTGGAGAGTTTTTTTGTGGCAAAAAAGTTATTTCTTGAAAAAAGATAAGGAAATATCTCGTACTTATTTTAAATTTTATTTCTTTATTGGTGCATAATAGACTCGCATGCGTACACATGTGAAAATAGAAGTTTTAACACAAAAGTGTAAATTCACAAAACAATAAAATTTGTTGAAAACAGCAACACTACCATAAAACTGTAAAAAACAACATTAACAGAAAAACTGTGAAACGATATTATAAATTTAAAATAAATACAAACCTATAGAACAAGCACATCCGTACAAATCAACAGAGTAAATTTAAACAAGCACACTACAACACCATTATAAGAGATCCGAGAAGTTATTATTTGAAAATTCTTGAATGGTATAAAAAACTTCCTTGATAGAGTAAGTTGAAGACATTATTTTTTCTGAATGTAACAGTCGTAATGTCACTAAGTATACAGGGTGTCCCAGAAGTCGACGTCAAGCCGAAACCGGATGATAGGCAAAGTCATAACAGCTATCAGAAAAATATTTAAAAAAATTTTATGTATGTGTTTTGAAAATTATAGGTATAGAAATTTCACACCCTACGGCAGTCTGTCAACTCCTGTTACTACAAATATTAACTTTATTTGGATTTTATTTTCACAATGTAATGATGAATAATGCATCTTCAAACTGGTGTCTCAACCTTACTGCCAACTTTTCTCGTTCAGGAAAAATTGCCACTTATTTCCCAACCAAGTAATCCAAAGTAAAACTTTGCTCAACTTTAACTGGCTGTACTGGAAAAAAATGTACTACGAGCGTTTGGCAAGTAACCTTAAAAGTTGGCGCATTTAATAAGGATTCAAAAATGGTATAACACTTAGAAGATTACTCGTTAACTTATGCACAATTTTTATTTGAAGAAAAACTGATGAAAATTTTTCAATATTTCCTAATTAAACAGCGATTATGAAAACCCACAAAGACCCTTAAGGATAACTGTTTGCACAACAGTGGGCGTCAAAATGCTGCTGATGATGATTTACCTTTACAACAAATGCTCAAACTGTTTTCCTTCAGCCGCAATACACGCTCGACATCTTCTTAAAGAAGATCGGGTTATTAAACGAGCGAATCCACGGTTATTAACAAACTCAGCTGCTTCCAATAGTCTTTGCCGTAGCTCAGCTACATTTTGAATCGGCTTGAAATACACTTTTTCTTTTACAGTTCCCCAGTAAAAAAAATCTAACGGATTCAAATCAGGTGATCGGGCTGGCCACGGTATTGTACCAGACCGCCTTATCCATCTGCCTGGAAAGTTTTGATCGAGATACTCTCTCACTGAGAGTGCATAGTGCGCTGGGCAGCCATCATGCTGAAACCACATGTCCCTGTAAATACTCAGTGGCACGTCCACCAATAAATTTTGTACATGATTTTTCAAAAAATCCAAATAAACTTCAGCAGTCAAAGTCTCTGGGAACTCAAACGGACCGATTATTTTACCATTTAAAATACCTGTCCAATGGTTTATCTTGATGCGATATTGAGATTTATCTTCTCTCATCAAAT